AAGAAGTTATGGAGCCACTTTCTATAGAAGTAGAAAAACAAGAGAATGATGATGAAGGCTTCATTGACTGTAAGTGAAGCAATTGAGCAACTAGAAAATGTTGATCATGACTTCTATGGTTTTAGGAATGAGGATATTGGTGAAATCAACATTGTCTATCGCAGAAGAGCTGAGGGTTATGGCCTTATTATACCAAAGAGGAATGGGGAAGTGGAGAAATATGAGGGTGTTTAGGCCGAGCCAATCAAGAAAGCATCCTAGGCTTCCTAGGTGTATCAGGGGAAAATGGGTAACCAATGTGGTTTCTTTGTACTTTTGGTGGATTAGAGGATAACACTAATGCTCTTCAGTAAATTCTAATGTTTCTTATAGTTGGCAGACATATTTGACAAGATTAAGACGAAGTAGAAGAATGAAGATGCTCATACTCAGTATTTCTAGAAAATTCCACGTACTTGGCAGATCTGTTTTTTTAAAAGGAATTTACAGTACATTGTATAATGGCCACCTTGAACTTTTTGTACCAGAAGAATACATATATATTCTCAATGTATTGTTTTTACAACTAACTTGGTCATGATTGGTTATTTTTATGGAAAACATAGGGCATGGTTTCAGTGAAGGATATGGTCATATGGAGTATTTGGTCAAGCAGAAAGTGACAAATTAGAGGTAGCACATGGTGAGTTGGTAGGATCAAGCTTGCAACAAAAATAACTAAGAAGTATGTTAAGTTCATTTTCCCTCTATCTGTATGGATGTAAAGACTTTGATGCTGCTGCACCCCCACAACATCTTCGTGGGGATAAAATGATCACTTTGATCTATAATTTTAAAATTAAGTATGCATCACTTTACATCAACCCTATTTATAACTAATGTTTACCGGGAGTAACAATATATATATTATACTAAGAAAAGATGTATGAGAAAAAAGTACTCATATTATTTCTACTCTTATCTGCTTTATTTATTTGTATGAACAGAATATTGATGGACTTTTACTATGACTGATGCTAAGGCTTCTCGAATTTCAATACATTTCCTCTGCCAAAACCCAGGATTGCTTAAGAAGTCTATTTCAATTATGCTAAAGGTTCCCCGATTCATTGATTTCGACAATAAAATGAAGATTATTAAGGAGAATGAAGAAAAGGTAGTCAGCCCTGAAGAATTGTGTGTTGAGATGCATAAAAAGAAGAGATATGAAGGAGAGCCAAATTATATACTACGTAATAGATATATGTAATACATTGAAATAGTAGATTGAATAACATAATTGTAGTGATACTTTTATATATTATTTGTTGTTGCTTTTTGTTGTATTAAATGTGTTGTTTTTTGTTGCATCTTGTTGTTTTTTGTTGCACCATGTTTCTTTTTGTTGCATTCTGTTAATTATTTTTGTTTTATTGTTGATTATGATTTTTTGTTGTTTATTTTGATTTTCCATTACCTTTGCTACTTCTTTGAAGTAAAAAAATCATATACGGATTTACATTCAATCATCTAAAACTGATAAATTTGGATTTATGAATAATCAACCACATGAAACATAAAGAAATCATAAAAAACAAAATTTTCAGAGTTATAAACAAAAGGAAACAAAAATAAACAATAACCAACAAAAACAAAACAATTTTTTTAATAATAAGTACGAGTATCATTTAATTTTGTTAACTTTTTTAAAAAAGAATATCAAGATTCGTGTTTTAAATATTTTTAATTGTTTCAATGTTGATTTTTTTTTACACTTTTTTTACTTGCAAGTTATATGCTTTTCATGCTTTTTAGTTTACTTATATTTTCGTCTTTTTAATATTTTACATAATTTTCTATATCCATTTTATTTTGTAGCATTTTACATGATTTTTCAACCTTTTCAAATCTATATATTTATTTATTGAATTTAGAATTTTCTACTCTTTATGGAGTATATATTTTGGTCTCTAAAATAATAGAGTACTACGTAATTGTTTCATAAAAGCTTCTAATTTTCTATGATAATTTGTAATATTTTCAAAACCATTTTTTAGAGTTTTTATTATTTTTTAAGATTCTATCAGCTATTACTAATAATTTTGCAATTTTTTTAGAAAGTTTTTATTTTTTAATATTTTATTTATATATTTTATTTTTGTTTTTTAAAAATAAGTTATTTATTTCCTAAAAAAACAATTATTTATATTATTGATTTTTTATACGAAGTACTTACTTGTTATAAAAATTTAGGGGCATATAAAGTCCTCTAAAAATTAAAATTACAGAAAACAATTATTTTCATACAATTTTCCTACTTTCTAAACTATTTTGAGCCTTCCTCATTTTTACTTTTGAATTTGTATTTTCAAATATTCTACACGTTTCTTAACATTTTTTGATTTATTTTTTAAATTTAATTTCCTTTTTTAAATTTAACTTACAAGTTTTCAATCTCAACTATTTATTATACACTATTTTGTTTCTTAATTTGATTTTATTTTTTTATTTTTTATGCTATCTTATTTTAGTACATTTATTATTTTCTAATTTTCTCATCTTTTTTTACATTTTATTAAATATTTCTTATTTTCAATATAAAAACGTGAATTCAGTTATAATTCTTATTTTCAATATTAAATTTAACAAAGTGGGTGTAAAGTGTATAAAGTGGGTGCCAACGGCAACTTGTTTGCTATGTGTTCCAGCGCGTAAAATATACGAAGCACGGAAGCATGTTCCAGTGGGTTGGTTTTGCATAATGGTCTAATTTTGAAAGGAAACGCTTAGCTAGTCTGGTTTTGAAAACAATTTAGAAGAGTGACAAAAGTGATATAACTTTCACTTTTTTGACTATTTGTGAAAAATTCCCAACATTCTTAGTAAGAGGCAGGGCCGGCCCAGAGGGAGTTTAGGGTGTGCGACCGCACAGGGCCCAAAAAAAATTGAGGGCCCAAAATAAATTTTTTAGTAGTAGTACTACTACTCTACTAATGTAATAATGTATGATGAATTGATTAAATAATGAAATTTAAAAATTTGGTTGTTATTTAGAATTAAATGTAATTTGTTGATGAGTTAATTAGGCTATTTATATTTAATAAATTTATAATTGCTGCAGCTATGTTTTAAGAACATCTGTTTGTCGATCAATATTTATGTCAGAAAGGAAGACCCAAATTTTGATATTGCACAGGGTCTCCATTTTCTTAGGACCGGCCCTGGTAAGAGGCGTTTAGTAAGCATATGTTTACTTCAATACGATTTCATGCTTTGTAACACAAATACGTGTTTAGTTAATTAGGATTCAAATATGTTTTAACTGTAAAAGTCAAATTTAACCTTCAACTCAACACCTACATTATACACTAATAAAAACCTAGCAGGCTTTTGTCCCTCTTTATCATAATTCGTCTATTTGTGTTTTAATGGGCTTTGAACAGATACAATTCTAGTTACTTCAGTAATGGAGAATAGATTTTTTGGTTGAATTCACAATTGATTTCTATTTTCTATTCTAATTCACGGAAGATAATTTAATCCAAAGATGTGATTAATTATTGGCTAAATTGAAAAATAAACAAATAAAAACTAACCTAAATGAAGAGATTTATAAAACAACGGTGAGGATCTAAAGATGCATAACAAATACTCCGTATAAAGAAGGGCGATGGTGTAGCATTGGCTATGGAGGTAGAAGATAGATGACGTGTCAGCAAATGGTTGTCAGGTACTCAGGTTATATGCCGTGTTGGAAAGGATAATAATGTAAATAAATATTTCGGTGCGTTATAATGCAGGGGTAGGATGGCCAATATGAAAAGGGTTAAAACACCGGGTATTTAATACATCGGGGGTGCAGAAGTTTAATACGCAGCTACATAAGCAGTCCAGATCCTTAGTAAGCGTAACTTTACCCAGATGAATTGTTTACTTCAATTGTATAACTAACCTAACGGTATAATAAACAGTGAAGTAAACATGTCCTAAGGGTTTAAGTAGTCATAAATCATTCATAACTTAAAATAGCTTGTACCTTAATTTAGTTGACTAAACCTAAAATGTGGTGCTTGTACATTTAGAGAGAGTTAGGCCTAGACTCGGGGCGGTTCGAGCCCTGGCCGGGCCTAGGCCCGACCAAGTCGGCGGTTCTGGAATGGGGGGCCCGGAACCGGCCCGGGTAATCCCCGGTTCTGGTTTGGGCCGAGCCAGGCCTCGGGCCTTAGTTAATTTTTTTTTCCTTTCCCTAGTTAACCCCCCCCCCCCCCCAAACCACCCCAAATGGCACAAAATACCCAGTCCAACCCAAAAAGTAAAAAATTGAAAAAAAACATAAAAAGGCCCGTAAAAAGGCCCGGAACCTGGCCCGAACCGGTTCATAATTTGGGGTAGTGCTGGACTCGGGCCGGGCGGCCCGAACCGGAACCGGCCCGGCCCGGTTACTGTGTGAACCGGCCCGGCCCGGTGGCCCGGTCCACCGGCGGTTCGGGCCGAACCGGCCCGGTGGATACCGGTTCCGGGCCCGGGCCCTATATTTGGTGAACCGGCCCGGCCGGTTCGGGCCCGGTCCGGGCCGGAATAATTTGTTTTTTAATTTTTTTTTTGAAATTTTTTTAATTTTTGGGTTGGATTAGGTATTTTGGGCCATTTGAGGTGGTTTGGGGTTGAGGGGGAGGGGTAGGGGGTTAAATAAGAGAAGCCAAAAAATCAAAAAAAAAAAGGGGGCGGGTGAACCGGCCCGGAACCGGCCCGGAACCGGTCACCTGCCGGTTCGGGCCCGGACCCTCCTTTTGGTGAACCGAGGCCCGGCCGGTTCAAGGCCCGAACCGGGCCCGGCCCGAACCGAGTCCAGCACTAATTTGGGGGGCCCGAGCCCGAACCAGAACCCACGCGGGTCGAGCCTACCCAGACCGGTCACTGACCGGGCCACCGGGCCGGGCCGGAACAGTGCCAGTTCGGGCTGGTTCCGAGTCGGGCCACCCGGCCTGAGTCCACCACTAGAGAGAGTATAAAAAATCCCTCCCGTTTCTTTTAACACATCTAGTAATCTAATATTTAACTAAAGCACAACACACCGTTAAAACATAGTAACCTTTTGAGATGAGGCTTTTCAGAGCTCTATCATTCTCATTCTAAAGCTTACAAGCTAAACACTATCTACATCTGACTATTCCAGATGAGGCTTTAAACTCAAGAAAGATGGTGTCAGGAGGTGTGGGCTTTTTTAGAGCTCTATAATTCCCATTCTAAAGCTTACAAGTTCAACATTATCTAAATCTGACCATTCCAGAAGGCTTTAAACTCGAGAAAGATGATGTCAGGAGTTGCAGGCTTTCTTCATCTCATGGATCTTGTTTTACCCTAACACGTTCACCCTTGAAATGAATATACTTCCATTCTTTCCTATACCTTTTCAGAACCATCTCCTGCTTTCCTGGGAGCCCAAGTGTCTGAAAAGCTCTAGCAATTCTTTTTACAGTATCTTCATCAGGAGTTACAGATAACTCTTCCATGTCTGCAAAAACCTGAAGTTTTTCATTTATGTACATTTTCAAAAAGTGTCCTGGCAAATAAGTATCAAGCTACAAATTATCAAGCTCTAAGGGTCACTAGAAAAATAAAGGATAAAGTGGTTGTTTTACAATTTAAACCTCTAAAAAGTAAGAAAAAGTAGGATGTGTCCACAAAAAACAAAAGGCGAAATGATAGAAAAGGTAAAAAGTGGACAAGTACAAGGGTAGTGGAGTTTGATTTAGAAAAGTGTTCATATTTTTTGGACAAATGAAAAAGGAAAGTATCTTACAAAACAGGATAGAGGTAGTAATTTCCTAAAGGAAAGTAATGTAGTATAATATGACTAGAATACCACAAAGAATGCTATAAAGTGCAATGGGGAATTTATGGTCTTATGGATGTAGAAAACTAAAGGTGGAATATGAGCAATTAAAGTTTTTCATTAAAGCGACATTTATTAAAGATTGGAGGGAGTAGGAAAACCACAAGCAAACAAGTTTAGTTTCTTACTTCTATGATTTTATCTGGCATATTATGGTGATCGTACAAAGAAATGATTCTAGAAAAAAGCCACTTTGAGATAGAGCGGGTGTGTGTGTGAAGGATCATATTCCATAGCATCACTGCCTCATCTGCTCTGTGGTCCATATCAAATGCCAGTAAAAGCAAACTGTAAGTGCCCATAGTTGCTCCTTGACCTTTGCCCAACATCCACTTGGCCACCTAACCATTCAAATTAGTACCCATATGATTAGTGAGACGATACTGCTCAGAATTTTTTTTAAACATCAATAAGGCCAATGTGTCGAAGAGAATCCGTATAACAAAGAAAACAGTTATTCATGGAATACTAATAGAAGTACTAAAAGCCAGGTTGAAATTTCAAACCTATTCTAAGGCACAATTGAACAAATTGTACAAACAATGGGAAGGGTTTAACTTTCTTGGGCTCTTAAAACTATTATGATATCCCAGGGTTTCCTTCTTTTACAATTCTTTGTAAGCGGGTACTAAATAAATAAACATGAACACAATCTTTAATTCTTTATTAGGGAGAAACAATGGAAACAACAATGAAAATTTCACACAAATAAGGATTTCCTTATAAAAAGGACCATTGACTCCATTTGAAAGGTGTCTTAATATAATGGGGACCGGAGGGAATATCAAACTTCACCCATGAACCAATCACAAGTTCCCAGTGAAGATCTGATACCTGAATTAGTTGTGTCCATTGTCTTCGCTTCCTAAGTATTCTTAAGGCCTTGGCTGCTGCAATCACTGGAAACTCAGTTTCCCACGCTACCCACCTATCCAGTGCACCATAAACAACACTCTTCTCATTCGGAAGTCCTGAAATCTGCAAATTCAAAGGCTGAAGTTAACAGAAATGCCATGTTAACCGTTTACCTGTAATGTGAATACTTTGCAAATGATGAAATGCGGAGGACTTGAGCGATTTTCTATTCACCATTCTTTTTTTCTCCTATTACTTATTGTTAGCATTTCGACCATACAGTGGATGCAAACAAATCAAGCCGCTTCCAAGCTACTCGTGAGCTGCTGGGTCAAAATTCGATTTGAGTCCATTCAAATTCAAACTCGGGATGAACTTGAGCCGAACACGAACCAACTTGTTAAGCATTTGAACCGAGCTCGAGCACAATCCTATTTGGCTCATGACTCACGAGCCGTTAACACACACATACATATATACATGTGAACATATATACACGTATTTGTTTATATGTATAATATAATCCTAATAATTTTGAAAATAAATTAGCCTAACTAGAGCTGAGCTCAAGCCGAAACTACTTTTCCCGCTCGCCCTCGAACTCAAACCAGTACATTTTTTTTTATCTCGAGCACACCAAAGTTTGAGCTCAACTTGTCTCATTTTCACCCTAGACCAAACCAATAAGATTGAAATCAGAAATGACAATTCAGGTCAAATAAGACCACATGTTATGTTTCAGACAAGAAGAACAATAGATCAGAGACATTCTGACCAAACCAGGCCAGCAGACCAGACTTGAAACTTTCAGACAAGAAGAAATTCAGACCAGATCTTAAATAGTCATATCAGGTTGCATATTTTCAGGCGAAGAGAACATTTCTAGGCCGACAAACTGCAATAGTTCAATGAGTCCACTTCTAAATATCCCTCCTAGACACTTCCAACTGTACAGATGTTGTGTAGAATTTTCAAACAATCACTTCATATCGGTTAACTTTTCCCCAGGGAGGCAAATCTGTGCTCCACGCCTATACCTAACAGTTCCAGGTTTTATTGAGTTTCCTAAATCCATGACATAGAAATGAAACAGATCTGTTATTGGCATTAGTTGGTAGTATTTTACATACAATCCTAACAAGTTTAAGTGCCTTCTGCCCTGACCCAGTTGAATCTCTTTTCTTCCAAAGATGGTGTTCTTTCTTTCCCCTTTTCTGAAGTACATTCCTGCATTTCCCATTTACCAAATGCATTAGGTGAAAATTAATCAATACGGTCATGTGTGCCTTGAAATAAAAAGGATTAAAATATTGTCTCAAATAAAAGATTTTTGAACTGATGAAACTCACTTCTCGCCAGTATTGAATTTAGTCAGAGATCGTTCATTTCGACTGAGGGATAAGTAAGCAGGGGGCACACTGGTTAACTACATATTGAAATAGAAATTTCTAAAATGATGATAAAAGAGCTGTAATAAAAAGAGCATAAAAAACAGATGGCTGAGCATGGATCGTCAAGAACTGCAGTTAACAAAAAAAGATAGCTTGCCTTTTCAGCTGACACTGCAGCATACTTCACAGCCTTCCTCCTTGGAGAATGGTATATCGAGAACTGAATTGGCACCAAGCCCATTGCTCTATCGCTTGAAATCTAAAATATCGCATGCAAAAAGATAACACTGACACTACCAATATGAATAAAAAGAAAATAAGATATGAATATTCTAGGCATCACCTGTTTTTGTGTCAGTGATGCAACTTGGTAAGGAAATCTATAAGCAAAGCTGCTGCACATCATACTTATGTTGTCCACTTCAAAAAGTTATGCGGAAAAACACAAAGAAATTGCTCTCAAGAGTCAAAATCAGGGGCATGATCACAGATACATTAGAAATTTCCATGAAAGGTCATTTTTAAACATCCTTAAACAATAAGAATCTAAAAGAGAAACATAAATCATGAAAAAACAGTACTTATTTCAGTTCGTGTATGAGCAACTTTTTTGCAAGTTGCAACCGTTAAATAAAATCAAGTGCAATACAATGATTGTATAATGTATGACTGTTCGCAAAAATATAGATGGATTATTATTATGTATACTAGAACTATTGATTGAAAATTATATGGACTTTGAACTGCAGGTCTGCAACTGAAGTAATTGAAATTTGAGACACAGCATACCTTATGCTAAGAATGATTTGCAGCTACATATTACAAAAACTTGATAGGAAAATAAAATTAAATAAAAATTACCATGAAAATGGATAGATAGGTTGCAGACCTCTCAATGATAGAGCAACTTCTGAGTCAGGAGTTCTGACAGCTCCAGCTCAAGCATAGCCATAGAAAGCAGCCATCATTTATAGTAAAACCACTGCAGATAAGCAAATAAATTACAATAACTTTTGTTAGTAAGTTAGTTAAACAGTAATTGACCATAATGGACCGACACCATAGTTATTTAAACAAAACTAGGCAATTTTGATCTACGGTCTAGACTAAAACCACGGTATTAACCATATAATCCTATTCATTGTTAAGGACAATATATTATTTAATTCTATTATGCATCTAATCGTTGACCTAATTCTTGACGAATACAGAAAAGAGCTCCCACACCAACAGGAGCTTAGACAGGTTCTATTCAGATGGTGGCTGAAATCGAATCTTCAGACTCGGAGGGAAGTCTCCGACAGATAATGCCCAGAGTTATTCTATGGCACATTTGGAAGGGTCTCAACGAAACCTTTTGGGATAATTGCGCCTTTAATGACTCCCAAATCTGTTTCCAAATCAAAAAACACATACAAAACTGGTGGTACATTAATCAGGGAGCAAAATTTTCAGAGAGACGGACTTCTATAAAGCTGGACTTATACCAGCTAAATTAAGAGCTCCTAAGTATAAAATCTTGATCTGGAAGAACACTCAACCATACCACTTGCGCTTGAACACTGACGCCGCATTTGATGAAGGTTTCTTGCCGGTGGAGCGGTTCTTAGGGATTCAGAGGGTGGTCTGCTCGCCGCTGCTTCAGGCTGAGATGCTTGCTGCCTTGACAGCGATTCGATGGTGCAAACAGATGGGCTTCAAAGGCTTTCAAGTTGAGACGGACTCAGAACTCCTATGTAAAGCTATGGACAGCCTTCACCTATGACCTACCCCAATCATCTTCAAATGCTTGTGAATCAAATTCGGCAGAAAAGGATGGACCTCCAGCTGAGGATCGTCCACTGTTTCAGAGAGAGCAACAGGGTGGAACATACGCTTGCAACCCATTTTGAAAAAATTTTAATTTTGTACCCCATTCCACTTAAAATTCCTTTGACTTTGCACCCCATTTAGAATATTTTTTTCACAAAATGGTATGTGTTGGAGTGCAAAGTCAAAGTTTTTGAAAATTGAATGCAAAGTCCAATATCACCTAAAAAGTGGAGTACAAAGTCAAATTCCCCCTATAAAAATGGGAGGGAAGTTTCCAGAACAGTCAATAGTTTGCTTACTTTACATAGGGACGGCACCCCTACTTTACAGGTTTAGGATGTTTTTACTTGGATCATAATTTGCTAATATGGTATGGTCTGGTTTGATCCGGTCTGAACTGGTCTGATATCTTTGTATTTTTATAACTACCAAAGTTTAGGACATATTATAGTCCAAGTAAAAACATTCAGTTTTCATTTGTCATTTTGATCACATTCATTTGTAGCTTCCTTCTTGAGGTTTTTGTCATCTGTCCTCTTTTATTCTATTTCTCGGTAGGTGACACCCAGCTCCTATCCCACCAATCTGGTGGTTTACATTCTGGGTCAGAATGGGTAAGACATGGGTAAATGAGTTCAGAATGGGTCAACAATTGCATACTTGGTGGTCAATGAAAGTTGCATACTTGGTGGTCAATGAAAGTCATGAAACGTGTCTAATACTCTCTAATCACTTATGTGAATTAGGAACAATGCATAGATAGAACCATATGGTAGTTCATGCCTCTTTGGATGTTGACTATATCCGTGTTGTAAAACTGACATGATATAGAGCTATAACAGTTTTGTGGGCCTCTCGATTAACACCAAAGAGAATTTATAAGATTCTGAGAAGTTTATAGTGACACTCCAGACTCCAGAGTATGATATAATTTACAATGGCTGAAATAGGCACTGCAAAATGGGTATCTTCGAATATACAAATATACAATATCCTCAAGTTCTCTAAATAGGAGAGAGTTGTGAAAGCTTAGTTCAATTCTCACTCACTTCAAGGTAGGTGAAACAAGGAAATTGCCATTTTCACTATGAATGATGAAAAGGAGAGTTGTGAAATTATATGTATTAAAACTTACTAGTAGTACAGAGCTCAAAGCTGTATTAACTACTACTATATAAAGTATAACGTCTTCACATCATTTCATTTGCATACTATGAAGTCTACCTTACTAAAAAACCATTTACATGATTCTCCTCGCCGATCAAATAATTGTGTTCACATGGTGACAATGAAGGAATTTGTGGAGTAGTTAAATACTATGTAGAACATTAGGCAATCGGCTAGATTATATGCATTCTTCTAATTCAGTATTAAATATTCAGAGAATGAGAGAACCAAAATTCAAGCTCACATAACCAACTAAAGGCTCAAATTGAATAGAGTATCACTCATTCTTCTACTTGTTTAACACTGACATTATATATTTTCTGCATTAATTTTAAGGAAAAATCAAATTCCACTCTAAATAAGTTTCTATACAATTCATAAAGCATAAAAAATCAAGAGAGCCTCTTTTTGAATATTTGCAAAGGTAATTTTTGAACTTACATAGTATTTTATTAGTTTCATTCATGATCATATGTGTTTTTTGTCAATATTTACTAAGTTGACCCACTGTTGACAGTTACAGGTTGAAAGGTTGACCCGCAAGGTCAATGTTGGTCTATGAGACCCAATAAGTCAACCAAACTGCCTAAGTCCTGCTGAAGACATTGGGCATATTAATTATGAATAAGTTTGTACTTTGTAGGAATAAATATTTGGATCCAAAATTGCCACCATTTATGCTTGCATTTGCAAAATAAAAACAATAAATTTATGTATGGGTTTCTGAGAATAAATGTAAACCAACCTCTATGTGTGACAATATTTTGAATTATGATACACATAGTACACACACTCACATACAAACTTTAATGTCAAAAAAGTAAAGAGTGTTGATTCTAAGTGAAAATAATTAAGTTCACATGTGCATGTTAATTTATTTTTCTCTGTGTGTGTTTATTCAATCAAAACTTATCTAAAAATAGCTTTTAACTGAATGGGTATACATAAAACCAAATGCTACATATAAATGTTTAGATAAATCTGTGAATTAATAGATAAACAAGATGCGTGATAAATCATAAATTTATAACAGACCAATTAAAAATGATGGCATTGTTGGGATCGTTTCTTCCGTCTCTGGCTCAGGTCTATTACACTATACTCACATACACCACATTAGGAGGAGGCTATAGCACACCTCTCTCTTTACTCTCTTTTTCTAACCACAAAGGTCAAAGGAACTCTTAAGGAGGAAGAAGGAAGACACTGCTCTCAGGAATACTCTCGTGGGGTTTACTCAAAAAGAGAGGGTAGATTATGCAGGAATCTTTGCTCCTATTGTTAAATTCATCACTATTCGTATGATGTTTGCTTTAGTTGCTCACCATGACTGGGAAATGAAACAAATGGATGTAACTACTGCATTTTTGCATGGTGAATTGGACAAAACAATTTATATGACCCAGCCTGAGGGCTTTGTGGATCCCAAGAGAAGTGAGCATGTCTGTTTGCTTAGGAAGGCTTTGTATGGCCTGAAGCAATCCCCTAGACAGTGGAACATCAAATTTGATAAATGTATGATATCTTTGAAGTTCCAAAAATCTGTTTGTGATCATTGCCTGTATTTCAAAAATACTTCTTCTGTGTTTGTATATTTGGTACTCTATGTGAATGACATGCTGATAATTAGTCTTTCTCTGAATGCTATTACAGATGTGCAAAAATACCTTTGTGCGAATTTTGCCATGAAAGACCTAGGTGATGCCAAGAGGATCCTAGGCATAAACATTGTAAGGGATAGGAATAAGCGTATTCTTACTTTGAATCAGATTTCTTACATAGAAAAAGTTTTGAGTAAATTCAATATGTTATCTGCTTCTCCTGTTAATGTCCCTATGGCATCTCACTTTGTGTTAAGTAAGGACCGTTCTTCCAAGACTGCTCCTGAAATTGAGAAAATGAAATATGTGCCCTATTCCAGTGCAATAGGATCGGTTATGTATCTTATGGTTAGCACTAGAACTGATATTGCATATGCGGCTAGTTGCTTGAGTAGATATATGTCCAACCCTGGTTTGCCCCATTGGAATGCTCTTAAGTGGTTGCTTAGATATCTGATATCTACTATGAAGCATGGATTAATTTTCTCTAAATGTGCTAGTGGTATTGAATTGATTGGTTATGTTGGAATCTTTAAAAAAAGAATTGGAATCCAAGGTTTTCGAAACGTGGTGAAATAGAAACGGCCCCGAAATGGGGATTTGAAGTTTCCGAAACGCTTCCGAGTTTTCGAAACGTGGAAACGTGAGCCATGGAGAGTTTCCGTGCTTCATAGACGCCTACCATTTACTCCGTATAATTTATGTTGAGAAGAAGTCCTCTAAAACTCTAAGAGACTTGAGGCCAAGCCCGAGTCGGCTTGTTTGAATTGAGTGTTGGGGAAAGTTAGTAATCAGTGTTGAGAAGTGTTAACATTAACACTTGTTTGGGGTGAAAAATTAAAAAGTGTTAGTGAGGGTTAATAAAGGTTAGGAAATGTTAGTAATTACCTCCCCAACACCTCAATTGTCTACCTTTTTAACACCCCAATTCGGAGTGTATTGAGGTGTTGACAATTAATACCCTTCAAATTGATCGATGTCTCAATTCTCTTTGCCGAAGCTCTTCCCTTCAAGTGTTCTTCTTGCGCAGCTCTTCTCCTCTGCCATAACTTTTAGCCTTCGTCCCATCTCTTTGTCTGTTTATCAAGTTAGTTCTCCAAGAAACATCCACTTTTTCATATATATATATATATATATATAGAGAGAGAGAGAGAGAGAGAAATCATCATGTCAGGTCAGCCTGAGCGGGAGAGCCGTCCGGACGAGCCCTTTTGGCAACCTTCCCGGTGGAATTTTTTGATGAAATTTTTGGAACATGTTCCTCATCAAGTCTAGTTTGTCCATACCAAATTTCAGCTCAAAATGCGATAGGGAAGGCATTCAAATCATTTTTTGAAGTTGATTTGCGTCAAAATATACATATAAAAATGCAGTCAACTTCAAAAAATGATTTGAATGTCTTCCGGATTGAAGTTTTAGCTGAACTTTGAAATGGATAAACTATACTTGATGGAGAACATGCTCAAAAAATTTCACTAGGAAGGTGCCCAAACGGGCTCGGCCGGACGGAGGATTCCGTTAGGCCGGCCTGACAAGAAGAGCTCTCTCTCTCTCTCTCTCTCTCTCTCTATATATATATATATATATATATATATATATATATATATATATATACTAGCGATTACTCGCGCAAGGCGCGAGAGTATTTGCCCAGTATTAAAATAATGTTATCTTTTGTAATAAAAAGTGTCATATGTAAAATTGTTAGGCGAGTTTCGTAAATAGCTAATGAAATTTGTACATATCGAGCCCTTTCGGTGACTCTTTTTTCGGCTTATCAGACTTCTCAGCCAACTTTTTAATCAAACACGTAATTTTTTATTTTGCACGCTGAATTGTGTAATAATAACAAAAAGTAAGGTTGCAATAACTTTTCTGGCTGTATTGGCTGAAGTTAATGTAAATTACTATTTTAGCTATTTTCCATATAATTTTTCTTTATTTTATTAATAAAATATATTTTTAATATAATTTATTCATAGATAAGGAGGATCAGCCAATACAGTCAATACAGTAAGAACTTCATAAATTTCAGCAGAATTAATCAGCCAGTTTCAGTGTTACCAAACGAGTTCATCATATACTATGTATATTTAAAAAAAGTCGGAATAATTATATTCCGTGTCAATCAATTATTGTGCGAAAAATATGTGATTATGTGGTTCATCTTTAATCAATTTTTAGAAATACATTAAGAATATTGATGTAAATATCATCGAAATGCATATAATTGTGCACAAACCATTTTTTTGAGCAATAAATATTTCACATTCCTGACAAGGTTGTAAGCATATGT